ATAAAACGGTGACGATCTTCCCCCACCAACCTCTGCTTGGAGAGTAGGATTCGATACGTTCTGTACAACAATATTTTCTTCTCTCACAGTTAGTAGGATACTTCTCATGTCATTACACGTGACGGGCGAACCTCTCCAACGATTTTCTTCTTTATTGTAAAGTTTCGGAAACCAAGTTATGGCAATAAGATGATAATAATGCTTTTCATCGCATGAGAGCTAATTATAAGAGCTGATTATTGATGTTTTTTTTAAAGTGGGGTGACGCCCCGCCAGTCGGCCACCCACCGGCCAAACCTCCGGACGACTGCCGGGGTGGCGGAGCGGGATACGCCGGGACCACGCACTACGGAGGCCGCGGTCCGGGGTACAACGACACCGCTGACTAGGGTAAGTCTGTCCTCAAAGGCATCCAATGCAATTTCAGGGCGGCAAAACTGGACGTATTCTAAATAAGGCAATCTGTATGATGTTGACACATACTATCCCACATTCATCATCATCATCCACTGTGTTCTGCGTCTATCCCACATTAGCACATTTGAATCAGTATTTCATACTTTAGGCATTTCAAACTGCAGAAACAAGCCACCAAGATTAGTCCTTTATTTTCTGGGTGGTACCCTAAAATCAATTCAGGTCCGTCCAGTAATCGTTTTTCGTCAGAATTTTGGGCATTTTTGCTCCATGAATGTCGATATACATTAGTACAGTGTTGTTTCAACTTAATATTTAGATAAGTGACTAGAATATTGACTTTGAAAAACCTGGTTTCCAAGTCCTAAAAACTGAACTGGATGCCTTTAAGCTTGTCTGCTATCCTGGTCATTTCCATTGTGCTATACCGGCGATAGATAGAGTATCTATATGACCTGCATATAAGACAAAAAGATTACACTGATTAATTCCCATTCATTTTTCAGGTGAGACAGCCGGCCTGTTGCACACCCGCCCTGAAAGTGGGTAAAACCAAAGCGGCCTTCGCAGACAACAGAAACTAGAGAAAAAGGCTTTGTATTAAGTCTAGTCATTACTTGGGTGTTACATGTTAACGTAGCGATTGTTGAATATGTTCAAAGTAGCACCGAAGATTGTCATTGTTGTAACTATCGTAGTTGGATGTTTAGGGTTAGATCCGGCATGTTTTCCTGGGTGCAGGTACACTGATCAATGGACAGACTGCGTCCCTTTCCGTAAATTACATGGTTTGGGTCTGCGTACACGGGGTACTTGTGTGTTATGCCCCGCGGAGCTACAGTCACAAGCTATGGGTAGTGGGAATAACTCCTCCCGACCAACTGCGCTTTGCCTTCCCCCTAAACTTAACGTGGCAGTTAGAGGTTTCACATTTGGGGTCCTCTCAGTTCAGAAAATACGGCTTCCTCCTTCATTAAAGACCGATGTCGTTGCTTTGGTGGAATGTGGGATCACTGATTTAGATCAGGACACTTTGGCCGCGTTTCCTACATTGAAGTCCTTGCAGCTCGATTCCAACAACTTGACTCACGTGAAACGAGCCTGGTTCGACGGTTTGAAATTTCCGCAGTTGTTGTGGACTCTGTCCTTCTCCCACAATAATATAAGCAGCATGGATTCAGCATGCTTCCAAAAGCTCACTGGCCTAGTAACATTGCTGCTTGACAATAACGCACTGCAAAGTGTCGAGCCATCTTGGTTTCACAATCCGGAATTAGGCCAACTGTCTTTGAGATCAAATTCTATCAAAAGCATTCATCCCCAAGCATTTAAGTCACTGGAAAGGCTCAGCGAGCTAGACTTGAGCCGAAATGAGTTAACGTGTGTGCCCTGGGAGACTATGAGCGGGCTACAGTTAGAAAAGCTGGCACTGGGCGGGAATAGATTGCTTAGTCTCGGTAATTTCGCTCCTTTGGTACTGAACTGGCGGCTTGATTATTCTTACTACCTATTCTCAGGCGTAAGAGTTGCAGTTAGGGTTAACCAGATGCTTTTCTGTATCACTAAAGGTCCTAAACTAACACAATATCACGTTCACACACACTACAATACCTCACACCTACTTCCGTCCGACCAGGAGCATATCAATCTATGCTACAAGCTTGGCAAGTTTATCTCAACAAACCAGATAAAGTATGCCCTACCATTTGTAGCCATTTCAGTCAGCACAGAAACAGACGAACACACTTTAAACATCACCCACTTGTGCACACAGGCTTGGGAAGCTTCTACAGGCGTAAAAGTAGCACTAGGGGGAAACACTACATTACAGATTGTTCCTACCGGTCTAGACTCCCTGTCCCAAACCTTTGCTGTAGTTGTATCGGATACTATGTCTGATAGTGCGAACAGAAGCATGTCGGATGCTGATGTCCACCGTAAAAATATCAGCACCTTTGGTCATGAAGAAATGATGAACGTGACATGTCATGTGGACGCTCGGGGGGAAACCTACCGACATGCCTTCACTGCGCCCGTGTCTAGTACTCCTGATGGCACCGTGTGTGTAGAAAAGACCCAGACCACAACGTCCGTGTCCAGCACAACAGAAACGATGACCCAGCAGGCCACAACAAAACCTACCACCCTGACAACGGAGGTCGGTAGGAATCAGACGAACCTGACAAAAAATTTAATTGTGACGGCGCGACCGGGGAAAGAGCGATGCGCGTGCAAGTATATATATGTGGGTATCATCACAGGGGTAACCTCAGTGTTAGCTGTAGTAACGGTGGAGCTTGTAGCACTGCTAGTACTAGTAGTCTGTGTTATCAGCAAGCAGCGCCGTTCGTCGCGACAGGACAACCCACCTGTTCTCTCGCTGAATCGATGGGTACTCGGCGGGGCAGGTGGCGAGGACGCCCCGATCCCGGTCAATGGGAGTCCCGTCAGCGCGACTGATGCGGCCACGCAGACCGCTGAAAGTGACCTGCACCAGTACGACGAGATCCCAGACGCGTACTTTAACTACTACAACACACGGCCTGGGGTACAGAATCCTTACTGGGAAATTCCCGACGAGTACTACACTGACTACGTGAACACACGGACCGAGTCGTACCCAGACGAAGTGGTGACTTTCTACGCCGCTGCCGCTAACGTGGCCCTTCCTTCACAAACCCGGCAGGGCGGCAAACATCCATCCTACAACACCGTCCCTCGTACTAGATCACTCCCACAGATACATACACGGCAGAGGAAGGCAAACGTTAGATCGTATGGCGTGCGTGTAGCGGGTAAGGACAGGGTTAGAGATAGGGTCTTCACTGGTAGGTATGGCAGAACGCGGGGAGCCCTTATGTCCAGGAGTGGTCTGTATAATAATAATCCCCTCACATTGGCAAGCAGACAGCAGGCAAACGTGAAATACCAGGCTGCACACATACACACACCCTCAAGGACACGACGAAACATGGCATATCTACACGCACAAACCCCGCATCACCCGACTGCAAAATCTGTCTTGGGAAAGTCTACAAACATGGCAAACCGTCGCCGGTACAGTATCTAGGGAGTGGACGTTATTGAGCGAACTGAAAGAGTTGGTTATGTAACAACATATAAGCCCAGGGGAAGAGTTAAGCAATCTATTCCTGTTCCCGACATAATGTTTTTTACACACCGAGAGGAAGTTTACAACGCAGAGGTTTCATTTTCTGGTCCTGAAAATAAAAACGCTACAATCGTTCCACCAAGCATGGGCAAAGTATTATTAAGATGCCACCAAATTGTGAGACCCCAGCCGACCTGTCTTTAAATTTCTACATGCCTGTGCTATACATGTACCCCCACCTCTACTAAGGGAAGGCATTCCGGTTGCTAGATTTCTTATCAGCTAAAAATGTCTGAGTGTCATATATACAGGCAGGCACGCTCACTCACTAACTCACTCACGAACGATCACTCACTCACACACACACACACACACACACACACACACACACTCTCTCTCTCTCTCGCTCGCTCGCTCTCTCATTCTCTCGCTCTCAAATAAACTGTGCTATTTAATGCTTCTGAATCTTGCACCCAGGAAAATTGCCGTGATTGGTATGTGATCTTTTGATACAGAAATTGTCGTAGACTGAAACAACAAAATGTTTTAAAGAGTAGGTTCAGTAATGTACATGTAATGTGAAGCACATTAGAATTGTGAGTTCCAAATCAGGAAAAAACAACTTCAATATGAACTATGTAAAACTTGATCCATTCTGTTTCTACAGCCTTCAATCAGAAATGTGCCTATGAAAAATGATCAATTTTTGAAATTGTAAAAAATATCAGACAAATTCACTTTGTAAAAACAAGGCTGCTGTGGGCTGAAAAGGCCTTTCCAGAAACAACCTTGGGAGGGGCAGGAGCCACATAACAAATGTATAGTAATTGAGCCAATGCTGTTATTATCATCATTATTAATATTATGCACCAGCCATAAACAGACCTACGGAAATTCATCATTCTTGCCTCTCAGTGCAACATTCACCAAAAAGTGTGGGTCTGTCTGTTACTTGCTTTTGGCTATACAGGTCCTCATATACTTAAGATTAACCTGTTAGGCGGTTTTAAACCAAGCCGTTTTGTTTACTTTCGACCAAATATTTGAAACGAATTGACATGAAATTACTCCAGATTATCAGAGACTCAGAATACTGACATTAGAAAGTCAATTTTCAACAATCTGTAATGTGTCTCAACGACTGATTATATAAAATGTGATTTCCAACACAGATGAACCGTTCAAACCGCCAGGGGGCGCAGCTGGCTTGTATGTCGCGTTTCTGGCTCACGTGTCAGTTGCGCCCCCTAGCGGTGGAAGTGCAGGAAAGAGGACGTGACAAATAAACACAATATATTGAGACCTTTCCACAGACTGACTGCAGAAGACTTGCTTGTGAAATGTAAACCGATGGTAGGAAGTGAATAAATGTTGCACCAAAATATTTGGCTACGTGTTTTAAATATGTGTTGTCAATCCTTTCAAATCTCATTAAATATAAATGAATAAATAAAATATGTGTATACGTGCATTATGATGAAGATAAAGGAGGAACAATGTTATCACATAATTCAGAATATGTTGGCCATATTTCATGAGGTTGAAGTAACTGAATAGAAAAAGGGGGATCCGAGAAATTTAATTTTTGACTGCACAGATACAGATGAATGCAACTAGAAGAAAACAGATGTAAAATGGCATGAAACTAGCAATCTAAGTGTTAATTCCTTCTCTAAGTCACATATGTTATACCTGTGATACTTCTATTATGAAGGACTAAAGTGTCAGTATTTCCTCATAGTCTCATACATAAATTACACTAATGATCTCTTGTGCTTAATTGCTTCAATTGGCGACCGTGCCATTATACATGTCCATATGTCATGATCATAGACTCATCAATTATCACAGTCCCAAACTATTACCAGCCATTCCAATGAGTACCAAATCTACATACGTCATGATATCTTTATAACCTTTATCAATATCTGACTTACCTACAAATGATTTATCTATTCATAATTCTTATGATAATTATATATTACCACACGTAGCTACAGTCCTCAATAGGATGCAAGGGGTATCATACATGGTATCTCTGTAAATGACTAGAAATCATTACAGTGATAATCACCCAAAACACAGATGACTGCAATTAAAAAGGAAGCCGCTAGGGACCCCAATACCTTCGCAGACCTCAGCCGCCCTGGCACACATTTTCGTTAATGGGTCCCTTACGCCCAATAACCTTCTGATATATGTATGACAAGGGAACGTATTATATACAGTTTGCAGTGAATGGGTTAGTAAGCCTGCTTAATCGCGCCCCTAGCGGCCCTGAGGGTGATCGGCACCCCCTGGGAACACATATGTACAGCCCCTATTACAGCGAGAGATTTGGCAACATTTCCCAATGGGGGAAAGTTAGCGGTCGACAACCCCGTTCGTTATATAAACTCAAGTACTGGTACGCTCTTTGCAACCTCGCGTTCTTAAAAACTTAACCCGTGGCTGTTTTTCTACGCTGCCTTGTAGATTCATGTGTCTCTGATGCCTTCTGAAATTTATCGTGTTTTGATATTTTACGGCGCACTTGTACAGCTTTTAACATTGTAAGAGGCTTCGTCAATTTACCAGTGCCCTCTTGGCTAGTATACTGATTTATGTGAAAGAGATAAACTATTTGATGATGACGCTTGACTCCCATATCAGGGCTTCAGACTACATTGTGACTTTTATTAGCGGCAAGTTTTATTCTGTACTTTCAAGCAGACATGAAAGTAGTGAGTAAAAAGTTTGCCGTCCGATGGGATATATTAAAGCAACAGTTGCCGCGTGCCTGCGGGGTAGTTGTGTTATGTGCCCGGCGAAGACAGATGCAGATACATATAAAATATCATTGCCTCAACCAAACCCCACAGGGCATATATCTATTTGCCTTTGACTGCCCATGTAGAATCTACTTAGCTCAAGGCTTCAATATAAAGGCTTCAATGGGTTCTTAGAAGGGGGATAAGAAGATGCCTTTGGTCATGGATGGATCATTTTGACGATCACATCAAAGACGACCCCTGTAGGCGCTGTGTGGCCTTTGCATGCAGGTCCTTTCTGGTGACCCTTTCAGCAGAATATGACATACATGTAAACCCCCGCGCGACACACGTTTGGTACTGCCAACTGACTGCTGAGAGGAGCTCAGCACTAGAAAATGAGTGCCGAGACAAGATTCACCACTGGAATCCCGTCGCACTGGACAAAAAAATACTTAGTAGTTCAGCACTTGCCTGGGTGTCCAGTGCTGACGGAGTTTTGACAATTGAATCAGCACTGAAACACTACTAGTATTATATTAGTGCAGAAGGCGTGGCTTTATAGACTTGCCTCCTTGACACATTCAACCGAGGTTTTCACATCTTTCTCACTTGGGATATTTTATCTAGGATCTTGTGTAGCTGAAGTAAACCCATCAGATTTCCCGTGACATGTCGCACGGTGAACTTTTTTTGTGCCGGAGGGCACGAAGAGGAGAAATATCTCCCTTTGGATGAAGCACAAGTCAACACGTAAAGACTTATATCCCTCCTGGGACGAGGGGTTAGGCAAAGTGAGCGCCTACTAGTATACTTGAAGGCTTAGAAGAGACAGGAGATTTTTTTTACATCTTCAAGCTGAATACAGATAAGAAAGGTTACCGCCCTTGGGTCCAGTTGGATTTTTATGAAAGAGAAAACAACAGTGACAAATCTCGCTGGCTGGGTCAATCTACTGAGGAGGACCAGAGTTACTGAGTGAGAACATTTCTCCCTTGTGTTGTGTTGGAACAAAAGTTTTAACTCTACACATGTAACTACCAAACACGGATGAACTTTCATGAGAGAAACCAACATATTAATTCTGATGGATTCTTTAAATCATATGCATGTTATTCAATCATAACCAAGCAAGCAAAGTCTAGGGATATATGCAGAAGTTATGAAACAATTATAATCATATTTTCAGTGCACTAATAATCTGACTGTAGGGTCTGAGCCGAGAGAAGATCAACCTGTTCATGCCTGCAGCCACCATGCACCAGACCCTGATGATCCCGAACGACTGAATGATTTCTAATAAACCACTGGCTTGTTATGATACTCTTTGAGAATATTATCCTTCCGTGTTATAGATGTTGATTCTTTGATCTAGATCTGTTGACTGCTGAGCTGGAGGGTGTTCGGTACAACTAACAACATGTGCTTATATAACAGTGTTGTAAATCAAACCCTCTTTGTTGTTTGACGTCAAACGAAACAGTGCGTTATTTATAGTTCGAATTCTGTAGCTGTCAACAAAATGTACTTCTCAGCGCGTGCGCATGTCGTACCATTCTTTTAACATTAATATATTCTATGACTCAAATTATTTAGAAAATGAAACTAATGGATGGATGGATATTTTTTACGAAACACATTACCTAGGCCACATTTTTTCATATTCCAACATTTCATGACCAAACATGGCGACGGCACACTCAAGGCCACATTTGCTTATATGATACCCAACTCTGAAATTATATGAATGATGTATGAAAATAACAGTAAGACACCATGCAGCGATACACGTCAGGACTTTAGGAACTAGAACCACCAGTAATTACCTCCGTGTGATGTACAATTAGTTCTTCGTGATCCTCACTCCTGGTGTTGAAGAGAAATATTGGCATCTATAGACTTCAAAGATCTGCAGTTTGAATGGAACATTGTTAGTACAGACGTCACGCCTCTAGAAGGCGGCTTCTAGAGGCGGCTTCCGCAGCTTAATTGATCCTTTAAACTCTCATGATGGATAAGCCATCATGTGTTTTGAGTGTTTGTCTGTTCAAGCCGCTATGTGTAACATTAGGAGGATTCAGAAAAGTAAATTTTCTGGTAATTTCTTTACCAAGTAAGCTGAATCAACCCTACTCCATTGCAAATTATTGCAATTCAAGAAGTGTAGGTGCCAAAATATGATGCCTCATGAGTGTGTTTAATGCTGGAAATACAGCCATGTTTGTTTACATTTTGGTATTTTGTGGTGGTACCACAAATTGAGTGAGCCCCGTGTGGGCAGTTTTGTGGCAGAAATGTGAGATATGGAAAATTTGTTGAAAAGTGGGAGTAAATTACAACCACACGGATATCTTTTACATAGAATATTTCATTCTTTTGGGTACAAAATGTTACTCTCCAAGCAGAGGTTTCGGTTTTGGGGGTATTCTTAGCGTGTTTTTAAGCTTTTTTTATTGGGGTTTCTCTTTTGCACTGAATTTTTTCCCACCAAACCCAACGTTGGGTTTGGTGGGGAAAAAATTCAGTGCAAAAGAGAAACCCTGAAAAAAAGCCTAAAAACACGCTAAAAATAC